TCATCTGTTGCTTTGTTTATTTTGTTCAATATATCAAGAAACTGGACAACTTGCAGTCAGGAGTTCCCATCCAGTAACAAAGGGAAGCCAAGAAGTGGGTCCTGGGGGGGAGCTCACAATCCTCCTGAAGGAAGCCATGACAAGATTGCGGCTCTGAGTGGGAGACAGGGACTGAGTGACTCAGTTCATTGCCAGAGGGTAGGACGCGGCCTTGTAATTCGACCATCCTGCTCTTGGCCCTCACTATCATGGTAGCTCTCACCACTTTAGTTATGCCGCCTACACAGACTGTGGTATCCAAGGCAGTGGGATCCTGGGAGTCCCTGAGCCTGCTTTTTTGGAAAGAGCAGGGCCTGAGCACAGGAACACTTTTTAGATATGCCTGTAGGGAGCAGGATTCCTCCACAGGCACTCATCCCGGCAGCTTCAGGCTCTTGGTTGTTACTGTTTTCATACTTGTGACAGATGATATAGACAGTCACACTGTAATGTCTGTCAATGGAAAGGGATCCCGATCTAGACTGCAAGAGAGGGTTCATGGATCTTGTACAAGAAAGAATTTGAGGCAAATCCATAGAGGAAAGTGAAAGCAAGTTTATTAGGAAGTAAAGGAATAAAAAAATGGCCCCTTTATTGGCAGAACAGCCCCAAGAGCTGCTGGTTGACTATTTTTGTGCTTATTTCTTGGTTAGATGCTAAAGGAGTGGATTATTCATGAGTTTTCTGGGAAAGGGGTGGGAAATTCCTGGAATTGAGGGTTCCTCCCCTTTTTAGGCCATATAGGGTAAGGTCCTGATATTGCCATGGCATTTGTAAACTGTCATGGTGCTGATGGAGTTGTCTTTTAGTATGCTAATACATTATAATTAGCATATAATGAGCAGTGAGGATGACCAGAGGATACTTTTGTGGCCATCTCAGGTTTTAGTGGGTTTTGGCCCACTCCTTTACTGCATTTTTTTAATTGACAATGTCTTTGTGACCTGTGCCTTGTGCCAACCTCCTATCTCATCCTGTGACTAAGAATGTCTAATCTCCTGGGAATGCAACCCAGTAGGTCTCAGCCTTATTTTACCCAGCCTCTATTCAAGATGGAGTTGCTCTGGTTCAAATGCCTCTGATAAAACCTCTGTAGAGGAGCCGGACTCAGCAGAAAGACTGTGGCCCAGACGGCAGCTGCCGAGCTGATGAAGCCTGTACTCACCCAATTTGGCCAAAGAAGCCCCCATATGCTCTGTGAAAAAGATTTCCAGAAGCTGTTGTGTCAATAACGGTCTCAAAACAAAAACAAAACCACCAACACTGAAGATCATTCTAGAGTCTGATTTAAAAACTAGGGTCAAATTCTGCAGAGACTTTCAAGTGGCAAGATACCACCCTAGTAGCCAGAGCTAAGGTCCCATCCATTACACAGGGAAAATGCTCCATTGGCCATTCCTCAGCGTCTAGTTCTGGTTTCTGAGTTCTCTCTATATTGGAGGTGTTTTAAAGCTGGAGGGACCTTTACCCACTTGCTCATTAATAGATCTGAATATGGAGATCAAGAGGGGAAGCCTTAAGTCAGAGGTCAACAAGAAAACAAAACTGACTGAGCTCTTAGTGTGTACTGGGCATTGGCTAGCTACTGGGGCTAAGGAGATGAAGAAAACATAGCCCTTCATCCAGGAGCTCAATCTAGTAAGGTAGATAGACTATTTGTTGACAGGACCAGGCTTCTCTGAAGCAGAAGGAAACTTGAAATTAGGGTAATGAGCCTCAGCAGGGATGAGCCACCACACTGTCCCAAGAGGATTATGTATGGACATAGGGCTATGACGTATCCCTGCTTTGACCCTCTAGCTGTGCTGTAGGGCTAGATGGGGCCAGGAGTGGCCCAAGCTAGGGGCTTCCATGAGCTATTTCCACTCCTCCAAGGCATTGCATAAGTAATGTCATTTATATTTGCACAGCAAAATCAAGAACACAGTTTTTTAAAATACCAGGTGCCTCCCCTACCCCCAGCTCAATGGGTGGGGTCTACCCTGGTTAATAGGTCCTTGTTTGTGTTAGAGATGGAACACTCCACAGGGTTTTCAATGGCCAGCTGTGGCCCACAGGCTGCTGGCAAGTGGAAGCAGAGCTGCAGAGCCCTTGGGAGCCACAGAGTGCCTCTGCCTGCCACACAGTGCCTACCCAGCTGCTGCCGGCCCACCTGCGGGCGGTAGTAATTAGTGATGTGCAGAATCCTGGGACTAGTGTCAGTGAACCTATGGATGCTCTGGGTGATCTGGACATGCACTGTTGTGGTGGCCTTTATGGTCAGGAGATGACATGCAGTGAGAAGAAGGGAAGAGACGGCCCAGAGGGATTCAGCCCAGGGTGAGGTCCATGGAAAGGCCAGGGCCAAAATGTTCCCAGCACCCCAGGCCAGTGGGGGCCTCATATCACCCATGCTGGAGGCCAGTCCTTGACTGCTCCAAACCCTCTGCTTAAGAGGTTCTAAATCCTGGCTGAGTGATATGGTTTGGCTCTGTGTCTCCACCCAAATCTCATCTTGAATTGTAATAATCCCCATGTGTCAAGGATGGGACCAGGTGGAGGTGACTGAATCTTGGGGGCTGTTTCCCCCATGCTGTTACTGTGATACTGAGTTCTTACCAGATCTGATGGTTTTATAAGTGTCTGGCATTTCTTCTGCTTGCTCTCATTCTCTTTCCTGCTATTCTGTGAAGAAGTGCCTTCCACCATGATTGTAAGTTTTCTGAGGCCTCCCCAGCCATGCGGCACTGTAAGTCAATTAAACCTCTTTTCTTTATAAATTACCTAGTGTCGGGTAGCAGCATGAGAATATACTATAACAGTGAGCTTCTGAGAAAGGCATGAAAAAATAGGCCTCCTGAACTTCCCCAAGTGACTGACACAAAGCACATCCCTCACACTTCACAGCACGGTGGAGAAGATCTGCAGGGGCAAACTACAGATGATCTGAATGACAGCACTGACCATTAGCAACCTGCCGAGCTGCCCAGCCAAGAAATTGCAAGATGGAAGTGACACTTGCAGGCAAAGAAGGAGAGGAAGGAAAGGCTGGAGCAGGCCAAGGCAGGAATGAAACAGCCCATGAATGTTGGGGTGAGACAACTGACCTCCCTGGCCCACACCGTGCTGAGCACCCTGCATCTGCTTGAGGGTGGTAAGAGACAATGTGGGCGATCAGGACTTGGCAGCAAAGGCGATCAGGGAAGCAGGACATAGTGGGTCCCCCAATATCCCAGCCACAAGTTCCTCTGAAGACTGTGGATGACAGTGGTAGCTTAGGTGCATCCTTATTTCCTGAGGGGAGGTTGAAGAAGCAGAATGCAGTTATGGGAAGAAATCCAAAGAAGGAAAGAACTCACAGGACAAGACCAAAGTCTGATTGGCGAGCAAGCCCTTCCTTTTCTTTTTTTTTTTTTTTAATTGAGACAGGGTCTCACTCTGTCACCCAGGCTGAAGTTCAGTGGCATGATCTTGGCTCACTACAGCCTCCACCTCCTGTGTTCAAGTGATTCTCCTTCCTCAGCCTTCTGAGTAGCTGGGATTACAGGCATGTGCCACCATGCCAGCTAATTTTTGTATTTTTAGTAGAGATGGGGTTTCACCGTGATGGTCAGGCTGGTCTCGAACTCCTGAGCCCAAGTGATCCTCCTGCCTTGGCCTCCCAAACTGCTGGGATTACAGGTATGAACCACTATGCTGGGGAGTAGGCCTTTTTGCAGGGTGCAAAGGCACAGCCTGAGAGGTAGTTCCTGAAGCAATTGCTGATCGTTCCACTCTGTCTGAACTGCACAAAGAACATGTAATGGGGCCTCAGCAACAGTCAATGGAGGAGGACACCTACTGCCTGGAACCTGACCAGAGGCTTCACAAGGTGCATGAAAACTCTAACTGCTTGTATCATACTGCTACAAGTTGTTCCAAGAACTGGGCCAAGAATTGAAGAAAAACACTTCCAGTTTTCATAGCAAGACCCCCTTCCATGAGAAAACATCTCAGGAAGGCTGAATGACTGCCACGTCCATTGAGAGAGCTCTCTGGGCACTCTGGAAAAAAAATGACCACAACAGGCAGAAGCCAGATGACTGTGAGGCCATGTTCCAGTCTTTCCAGAGTGGTCCTTTGGTTCCTGGGGCTCTGCCTGCAGCCCACAGGGCCCAGAGTGCCAGGGGAACCTGGAAGTACCAGGTCCACCAGAGCTCCCAGGAGGGAGAGAGGTCACAATGTGAGGGCTTGGGTCCAGAGCACTGGTTGATTTGATTCTGTTTTCCCTGTAGCCTGGTCCTGAATGCCCAGAGCCTCAGCAGAACATCAGCCAGTGCTGCTCCCTTTAAAGGACTTTTGATTGATCTCTTATTAGTTTAGCTACTATTCATTAGTTGATGCTGAAATCGCCCTTATTGAAGTTTGATAGATAGTGTTACATTTGTATGATACTGTTTTTCAAATAAAGATTGTTTAATATGAAAAAAAGTAAAGCACTTAGTACAATACATGGCATATTGTACAGTTAAATAAATATTGTGATTATTACTGTTACGTAAAAAGTACACATCGGTTGGGTGCAGTGGCTCACACTTGTAATCCCAGCATTTTGGGAGGCTGAGGCAGGTGAATCACCTGAGGTCAGGAGTTCAAAACCAGCCTGGCCAACATGGCAAAACCCTGTCTCTACTAAAAATACAAAAAATTAGCTGGCCATGGTGGCAGGCATCTGTAATCCCAGATACTTGGGAGGCTGAGGCAGGAGAATTGCTTGAACCTGGGAGGTGGAGGTTGCAGTGAGCCGAGATCATGCCATTGCACTCAAACCTGAGTGACAGAGTGAGACTCCATCTCAACAAAAAGAAAAAAAAAGGACACATCATAGAATTATGAAATCACAGAATGTTAGGTATACAAGACATTGGCTAGTGAAGAAATTGTCATTTCCTATTTTGTTTAGAACATGAGTACATAGAAAATTTTACTATTTATATTTTCAGGAATCCTTAAACACATTACTTAAACAGCTAGAAAAAGAGAAGAGGACTCTTGAAAGTCAAGTGAAATACTATGCATTTAAACTTGAACAAGAATCAAAGGTTTGTTTTTACTCTATGTTTAGCAATTCCTTTGAAACTGCCGTTATTTCTAATGTTATCTACAAAACTACTCTGTAATTATCATAAAATGCTTACAAGATTATTTTCTACACTATGGAGACATAAACCTTAACTTAGTCTTGCTAGGATTGCTCATCTTCTCATATGTTGGATTCTTTACTTTTGTATCTTCACATAGGCTTACCACAGGATCGACAATAAATGCCGTACATACCTAGCTGAAGTGTCTCAGGTAACTCTTTTTATTTCAAATTCTTAGTGTTTCCTCTTACTACAAATTATATTTTTCACTTTTCTAGGTTTGTATTTGGTTTGGGAGAGAAGCAGATGTTGGAATTAAGTTTCTAAATATGGAGGGTAAACAGAAAAATATACTACTTGTACAAAAGGTAAAAATGGCCATGCCTGTAACCCCAGCACTTTGGGAGGCCGAGGAGGGCAGATCACGAAGTCAGGTGTTCAAGACCAGCCTGGCCAACATAGTGAAACCCTGAATCTACTAGAAATACAAAAAAATTAGCCAGGTGTGGTGGTAGGTACTTGTAGTCCCAGCTACTCGGGAGGTAAGGCAGAATAGCTTGAACCCGAGAAGTAGGGGTTGCAGTGAGCCGAGATGGCACCATTGCACTCCAGCCTGGGTGACAAAGCAAGACTCCATCTCAAAAAAAAAAAAAAAAAAAAAAAAAGGTAAAAAGGACATAACAGTTTTCCAAATTAGGAGGTTATTTTTCATATTTGCTTCCTTAATTAATCCTTTTAGTTTCACCTCTAATCACTGGAATTCAAACAGGTTGCTGCTCTCTGTGCTATCATGAAATCAAAGGCACTTCACTTTACAGTTATGCATGGTGAGACCTGAGAGATAAGAACTGCTGTTGGTAGAAGTGTGTACTTATCCATACAGGACAGGGAGCTGATCAGTAAGTTGTGAAAGATGTTGCATCTATTTTCAAGCTATTCAATTGCTTTCCATTTTATTTATGATATTGTTGGTATTGTAGAGTTTTTATTTTGATGTTGTCAGAGCCACCTTTTATTTATGATTTCTAATGTTACAGTTAAAAAGACCATCTCAATGTTTCATAGTGTTCATCACATCTTTTAGTACTTGTATAGCGTAATATCCGACATTAACTATTTAATCAGTATTAATCTTATTTTGGGGTATGTTTTAGGATTAGGTTGTAAACTCAGTTTTCAATGTGTGCCATCTAAATGGAAGTGTCCAAAGAGCAGCTGGACATACATGACTCTCAGGAAGCAAAGATTTGAAAATTCTTATCATATAAAAAGTGAAGTCGTTGAATGAATGAAATGCACTGGGGAGAATACACAGCGGGAAAAGAAAACATCTAGGATATAACTCTAAAGAAGTTCAGCAGTGACAGTCAAGGGAAGAAGAGCCGAAAAGAGTGTTGGAATCCTGAAGACATAGCTAGGTCAGAAAAGGAGGTAGAGGATTTTGAGAATGAGATTGGCGTATAGAACAATTTGCTAATCACCAATTCGGAATATCTAGATGGATTAATGAAAGGGTTGAGAGGAAGGGCATTAGGTTTGGGGATTAGAGCCAATAAGGGGATATTTAGAAATTTTTGAGAAAGTCAGGTCTACAGTGGGTAAAAGGCAGTGTGGGTTTTAATGTTGACTAAGGTAAGTAAGACATTGAGACAAGATAGGATCAATCCTTGTAGTTTCTTGTCTGTAAAATGGATGATTAGCTTAAACTTCATGGTCCTTGATACTGGGTTGGATGCACTGATTACTCCTAGAACACAGGCACCCTTATGCCTTTCCTCAGACTGTGCTTGAAGATGCTCCTTCTCATACATGTCAATTCCACTTCCTTCAAGGTCTAGCACAAACACTACATGATGTAAAGACTAGACTGTAGAGCCATTGCAAATCTGAATCTGAATCCCAGCTCTGTGCTTATTACTGTGTGACCTTTCTGGGCCTTAATTTCCTTCCTCGCCTGTGAAAAGGAAATATCAATATCTTGAAAGGATTTTGTATGTAGAAAAATAATATATGTGAAGTGCTGAGTGAAATTTCTGGCATATAATAGGTTGTAAATTCCAGGAAATGATGAATATCACTTTCCTGTGTTTCTTTCCTGATCCTCCTAGCCCCTCTCTGTGACAGGGGCACCAGAATTTCTACTTGCCTTAGCCTTCCACCTGGTCCCTTATTGCTGATTTATCTGTTTGCTTCACTCAGCTGTAGGTTTCTCCCTGAGGTCAGTCAGGGTGACTCATGCTTTCTATTCCCTTTCACAAAGAGTGGCAAAAAGTAAATATGCAAAATTACTTACTAAACTGAACATAAAACAGAATTTATGTTCATAATCGTAAGCCCAAGTAATTAAGAAAAAGGTAATATATAACACATTGTTGGAGGATTTTTGTAAGGTTAAAAATAAAGTCTTTTGTCCTCAAAGCTTTCATTTACCTTTGTTTATCTGAAAAATTCACTTATGTGAAATAATCCTACTCTGACTCTACAGGATCACTGACCATATGATAAAAGCCTATTTTAACAGCTTCCCAGGAAGATGTTAATCCTGTCCCCAGTATAAATGTTAATAAGGATTTTCACTCTAGAGTGAATTGTTAATCTTTATAGTGAAGGACAGTTCCAACTATGTGGACACTGTGGTGATTGGAAAGGTTAATGGATGATTTGCAGTTCTCTCCATGCTGAATACGTAAATAATTGATTTATTGGCAGATAACTAGAGCTATTTGCTGAGTGTGCTGTTTATCCTTCTACTGCTGTCCTTTCTGTAGCTTTGTCTCACTCTTGATTCATTGTTTTGAATGAAACAGTTTCCCCCTATCGGGAGTTGTCTGATATGCACAATTTAAGTACAGAATGGACATTGCTTTTTAATACATAAGTATATTGCATTATTTAAAGTCAGGCAGAAAGACTGATTAGAATTTTTTACAACACATAATAAAGTTAAGTTTTAGTTTCTATCCTCGTAAATATAAAATTTTAGCAATGGCTCTGAGAGATTGAGAAAAATAATGCTTTTAGCTTACAGATAAGGAATCTGAGGCTATGCTATTTCATTATCAGGAAGTTCTAATTGTTAAAATTGTTAAAACATCATATGATGCCTCTTATTCTCCTTTCCTGAAACTTCCTTAAAACCCATTGATTTAGTTACATCCTCTGAAGAATAAGAACAAGTCTATACTCTTCCTACATAATAGTTTTTCAAAGATTTGTAAATGACTATCGGTCTTCCCGTAGTTTTTTGTTTTGTTTTGTTTTGTTTTCTAATCTAAAATATTAAGTTGCATTAGCCATTCCTCATGACATAGGTTCCAGACTGCCCAAGTATTTCTGGTGACTTTTTGGACAATTCTGTTATTGTTCATTTAAAAATATGGCTCCCTAGGTTTAAATTTAATACTTGAGATGTAATCTCAACAGCTTAGTTACCAAAGCCTTAACCAACTCTACCACACCCATTTTTCTTCTCTGCTGCCTGATCATTCTGAAATACAGATAGAACAGTGCTGTTTCCTGTTAAAAACCTTCAGTTTGCATTGCCCAGAAGATCACAGCAAAGCTCTGTCATGTGGTCTCCACAGGGTCCTCTCCAACTTGGCTGTGCCTGTCTCTGCAGCATTATTCCTGCTAATATCCTGGACTGCATTTAGACCAAATGCTATGTGCAATTCCTGGATATATCTGCTGCTTTATACCTAAGGTCCTTACTGTTCCTTCTGCCTGGAATATCCTTTCCCTAGTTCTTAATTGGCTACTCTTCCATGTGAAGCCCTCCCCCACCACCCTCAATTAGCTTCATCTGTACGCTTACAAAGCACCTGTGCACATCTCTATCAAGGCACTTAACTGTAATCACCTATTTATTTTGCTGTTTCCCCAATAGAACCATGACCCATTTGTCTTTGTACCTGAGTGCTTAATGTAGTGGCAGCATACAGTACTTGCTCAATAACATTAGCTAAACGAATGAATGAATGAATTCCATTTTCGGTTCCAATATACCCAAACCTTTCACTCATATCAAGTGATCTACATCTTAGCTCACACACAAAAAGACAGTCTATCAGGTGTGAAACTCAACTTTCCTACTTTTTATTTTCAAATTTATTCACATCTTTATCCACTGTTCCTGTTCTTCCTGTCTTAAAGGAAAACGATCCCAAACCTCTTCCCCAGTCCGTTGCCTCTAAGACTTACTTAATAATATTCCTTCTCATATTTTTAATCTCTCTTTCATTGCCTTTGGCTTAACCTTTGCTTGTGACATGCTCAACCCTCCCACCAAACAAAATAAAAACAAACCTTTACTTTACCATTAACTGTCTTCATAAAACTTCTATCTTAGCTTTCTGTTTCTAAGCCAAACTTCGTGAGTAAATGAATATGCTCATTGCCCTTGCTTTTTAGTCCTTGATCTCTTTTTATTTCTCTTGTGACCCCTCTATTATGCTTTCACCCAGTTTATCTCCTAATAGCCAAATATAGCAACTCCTTTTCAAGTTTGGTGAAGCATCTGTGAGGCATTTCACACTGCCAACCATGCTCACTTCTTTGAATACTCCCCATTCTCCCTGACTTGACTTCCATGATAGTATTTTTTCCTGGGTTTTCTTGTTGTTTAAATGATGGCCTATCTTTGGTGATTGTCCTATCCCTTAAAAGTTGCTTTCTCAAGTTGATATTATTGATTCTCTTCCTTCTCTGTGTACCCTTAACGAATGATCTCATTCACTCTTGGCTTCAATTGCCATCTCTAAAGTCATCAGCCCCAGTTGTTTCTGAATTGCAGATTACATTTATACTGCCTCCTAGAAGTCTCCACTTTTATATCCTGGAGGAATTTCAAGGTAGGCAAAAGTGAAAATATTGTCTTTCTATTTCTGCCTTAAAATACTAAAGTTTCTATTATCTTATGTACCAAAATGGCAGGGTGCATGTATTATCTATATTTAGTGTCTGCTGCAAGAAATTTTAATGATCTATACCACACAGGTTATATGGTTTTCACAATTCCCTCCGAATTTTTTTTAATAAGTCACATGGACTACGGGGCTGAGATGGGGGATTTCCAGAATCTTTAGAGGCTTGATAATAATGGAGAAGATCAGACTTTCCCATTTTTCTCTGCTTCTCTTACACATGCTGCAAAAGAACCTGTGGGAGAGTTAATTGAGAATTGACTCTCTCTCTTATTTCTGAACTCAATTATGAACTTAGAGGATAAACAGTCACATTTTTGTATTTCAGGGTTCTAGTTTACATCAAGTTTCTAAAAGGCAACAGATGGATCAACTGCCTAGGATGCAAGAGAATTCAGTGAAAACGTAAGTCTAGCTCTATATGTTCTTTCTGATTCATTACATTTGCACATAAATGGCACTGACAAAACAGGTGTCCACTACATTGTGGAAGCTGAACTTCTAGGTTTTATAGCAATAATATAAAATAGCAGATGGTAAGAGAACTTAAAGAAGTTTGTGATCTTTTCCACTATTTGTACACATTTCTTTTTTAGATCCCAGAGGCATTTTTAGTCCTCAAACACAGTAATATATTATTTTTTAAGCTAAAATAATATGTATCCAGGAGAGCTTAAAACTGCACCATTAACAATGACATAAACACAGGCATACCTTGGGGATATTATGGGTTTGGTTCCAGACCATTATAATAAAGTGAGTATCACAATAAAGTGAGTTACACAAATTTTGGGGTTCTCAGTGTATATAAAAGTTATTTTTATACCATTACTGTAAGTCTATTAAGTGTGCAATAGCATTATGTCTAAAAACAATGTAGATACCTTAATTTAAAAAGCTTTTATTCTGAAAATGCTATTGATTATCTGAGCCTTCAGTGAGTTGTAATCTTTTTGCTGGTGGAGGGTCTTGCCTCCATGTTGATGGCTGCTGACGGATCAGGGTGGTGGTTGGTGAAAGCTGAGGTACCTGTGGCAAATTCTGAAAACAGGGCACCGATCTGCTGCACCAACTGTCTCTTTTATGAAAGATGTCTCTATCATATGTGTTGTGGTTTGATAGCATTTTACTCACAGTAGAACTTCTTTCAAACTTGGGGTTAGTCTTTTCAAATTCTGTTGCCACTTTATCGACTAAGCTCATAGAATATTCTAAATCCTTGGCTGTTGTTTCAAAAATGACATCACGGCATCTTTATGAGGAGCAGATTTCATCTCAAGAGACCACTTTCTTTGCTCATCTGTAAGAAGCAACTCCTCATCCATTCAAGTTTTATCATGACATTGAAGCAATTCATTCAAGTTTTATCTTGAGATTGCAGCCTGAAGAGATGACTGGATTGCTATTTCCAAAACATCTATAGTGACTTCCTCCGCTGAAGTCTTGTACCCCTCAAAGTCATCTCTGAGGGTTGGAATCAGCATCTTCCAAACTTCTTTTAATGTTGACATTTTTTACCTTCTCTCATAAATCACAAATGTTCTTAGTGGCATCTAGAATGATGAATCCTTTCCAGAAGGCTTTCTTCCAGACCCATCAGAGGAATCACTATCTATGGCAGGTATAACCTTATGAAATGTATTTTCTTAAATGATAAGACTTGAAAGTTAAAATTACTCCTTGATCAGGGCACCAGAATAGATTGTATGTTAACAGGCATTTAAACAGCATTTATCCCTTGTGTATCTCCCTCAGAGTTCTTGTAACCAGGTACATTTGTAATATTTTGAAAAGAATTTAATTTTCTGAGCAGTAAGTCTCAACAGTGGGCTTAAAATATTCAATAAATAATGCTGTAAACGAAATTCTGTGCTTTCATCTGAGCTTTATTTCATTTACAGTGTATGGGAAGAGTAGGTTTAGCATAATTCCTAGGATTTTCAGAATGGTAAATGAGCATTTGCTTTAACATAAAGTCACTGGCTGCATTAGCCTTGGACAAGTCAACCTGTTTTTTGATGCTTTGCAGCCAGGCATTGTCTTCTGCTCTGTAGCTAGGAATGTCCTAGATGGCATCTTTTTTCCAACAGAGGCTGTTTGTTCACATTGAAAATCTGTTGGTTAGTGTAGTTGCCTTCATCAGAGCTCTTAGCTCGTTCTTCTGGAGAATTTGCTGCACTACTTCATCAGCACTTGCTGCTTCACCTGGAACTCTTATGTTATGGAGGGGGCTTCTTTTCTTAACTCATGAACCAACCTCGGCTGGCTTCCAGCTTTTCTTCTGCAGCTTTCTCACCTCTCTCAGCCTTCAGAGAATCGAAGGGATTGAGGATCTTACTCTTGATTAGGTTTTTGCTTTAGAGAATACTGTAGCTTCTTTGGTCTTTTATCCAGACCACTCAAACTTTCTCCCTATCAGCAAGAAGGCTGTTTTGCTTCCTTATCATTTGTGTGTTCACTAGAGTGGTATTTTTAATTTCTTTTAAGAATCTTCCCTTTGCATTTACAACTTGGCTTAACTGTTTGGCACAAGAGGCCTAGCTTTCAGCCTACCTCAGCTTTCAACATACCTTCTTCACTAAATGACTAAGCTTATCATTTCTAGCCAAATTAAAGTGAGAGGTGTGCAACTCTCCCTTTTACTTAACACCATAGCAAGGTGACTCATTGGCCTAATCTCAGTATTGTTGAGTGAATAGAGAGGCCCAAAGAGAGGGTGAGAGACCCAGGAATGGCTGGTTGGCAGAGCAGTCAGAACCTACATACCTTTATTAAATAGTTTGCTGTTTTCTGTGGGCATGGTTCATGGCTCCCCAAAACAATTACAGTAGTAACATCAAAGATCACTGATCACCATAACAGATAAAGTAATGAAAGTTTGAAATATTGTAAGAATTACCAAAATATGATGCAGACATGAAATGAACATATGCTACTGGAAAAATGATGCTGATAGACTTGCTCAACACAGGGTTGCCACTAATCTTCAATTTGTAAAAATGCAGTATTATTGAAGCATAATAAGACAAGGTATGCCTGAATAATTACAGCATCAGCCCTACGCTAAATATGTTCACTGGAGTGGACACTAAAATAATCATAGATGACAGTGCAGTTTAAACTGTTTTCCTGTGTAAACAAAACCAATTTAGGATAGATAAAGAACAGAGGGCCTGGTACAATGACTCATGCCTGTCATACAGCACTTTGGGAGGCTGAGGCAGGAGGATTCCTTGAGGCCTCAAGTTCAAGACCAACTTGGGAAACATAGCAAGACTCTGTCTCTACAAAAAATTAGAAAAATTGACTGGTTGTGGTGGTGTGCACTGTAGTCTCAGTTGCTTGGGAGGCTGAGACAGGGGGATCACTTGAGCCCAGAAGGTCAAGGCTGCAGTGAGCCATGATTGCACCACTGTAATCCAACCTGTCAACAGAGCAAGACACTGTCTCTTAAGAAAAAAAAACCGGGAATGTTTTGTAAGTTTAGAAGGTTATATATATATATACACAATTTTTCCTGGTCCTGTACTAAATACAGAAGAATTACTCAGGTAAACCTTCTCTGAGTAACTTTATTCCATGTAGGGGAAAACGTTCATATATAACTTAACACTATAAAAAATTAAACCAAGATGTGAATCAGCTGTAAGTCAGAATCCTTTTTAAATTTAGATCAAGGTAAGAGGCACTCAAGTATAGCAGATTTCTTTGGTGGAGATTAATGAGATAGCATTAAATATATTTAGTTAGATAAAGTATATTCTTTCTTGAATAGTCAAATGCTTTAAATTATTATTCATTATCTTTATACATTTTCATTATTGGAAATATAATGTAGTTTAAATATTAAAATAAATTCTGACACAGGACTTCCCTAGAAAAACTATTATACCACTGTGTCAGAGTCCCCAAGACCACTCCCATATTCAGTGATTCATTAGAAGAATTAATAAGGATTGGCAAATTCTTGTACTTGCGTCTAATATATATTTTCATTTTTTCTTTCTTTATCCAATCCATGTGCCTCACAGGGAATTTATAGCAAAGGAATACAAAGCAAAATCAATGAAAGGATAAGGCACATGGGATGGATTCTAAGAAAACTAGGCCCAAGCTTCCAAAATTTTTCTCCAGGTTAGGGTCACAATAGTTAATTTAACTCCAGCAAGGAGTTGCAATAGCAGGTATGACAGTATATGAAGTTTTATCTACCAGAGAAGCTCATTAGATACTTAGCCCCCAGTGTTTCTTCCTTTTTTTTGGGGGGGGGGAAGAAAAGAAAGAAAAAAGGAGTGAAGGAGAGGAAGAAAGAGGAAGAAAAAGAGGGAGAGAGAACGGGAATATTGCTTTATTCTAAAAATGGGTATTAATAATGGCCGATCAATATTTTGTGTATTTAAAGTGGAGAGCAGTGTAGCCCCGTGTTTCTATTGGGAACAGATCACATAGGCTTCCTCTGCCTGGCATGCACCAGAATTCCAGACTCCCAGAAGGAGAACAGGTGTTCAGTATAAACCACATTGTTTGTACAAATAGCATAGGCACAGTGAATCATTAAAGGTTTATATCAGCTTAGGGAACTGTTTACCCGTAAGTTGCCGGATACCAGCCAAGAACCAACCTCGCAAGCAGGCTTTTCCAAAGACAGTACTCTCAAGCCTGCTATGTTGACTTTTCTGTACAACCACCCTAAATATTTTTATTAACATCTTTCAGTTCAGATTTATTTTCCAACTTATATCTGTTCTAAAAATAAATACCTCTGTTATTTCAAATTTGCTTAAATAGTGAAGAGGGAAATATTTCAAAAATGAAAGTTAAACTTCTGTATTATAATCATGTATTAGCACATACACACATATATATCACCAGAATATAGCTCTATGAGGGCAGTTTGGTTTTCCATTGAGTATTGCTGGGAGTAGGATCTCTCAGCGAGTAGACTGTTAAATGGGAGTCAGCATGCAGGAAGTTTATTTTATTTACATATTTATTTATTTATTTAGAGATGGAGTCTGGCTCTGTCACCTAGGCTAGAGTGCAGTGGTGTAATCTGTTCGCTGCAACCACCGCCTCCTGGGTTCAAATTATTCTCCTGCATCATCTTCCCAAACAGCTGGGATTACAGGTGTGTGCCACCATGCCTGACTAATTTTTGTATTTTTAGTAGAGCTAGGGTTTCACCATGTTGACCATGCTGTTCTTGAACTCCTGGCCTCAAACGGCCCTCCTGCCTTGGCCTCCCAAAATGCTGAGATTACAGGCATGAGCCATTTCACCTGGCCAGGAAGTTTGAGTGAGGGTTCTTAGGATCAACACCTGTGGGGGAAGGCTAGGAACCAGGTTTGGGCACAGGGAGTAGGGCTATAGTGCAGCTGCAGTTCATGTACCAAGCTGATTTATGC